TCTTTCTCCCCCAAAGGGCCTGCTTCTCACACAAACACAAGCTAATGTTAATATCCAGCTCCAAAAAGACACAATATAGTGTAGTGGTCGGGGTTAAAGTTAGGGAGACGTGGGTTCAAATCACCCAGGTTTGTGGGAAAATTTGAACCAGTCGGGATCTCGGCATAAAAGAGGAGAAGGAACCACAATCACAGTGTTTCATCCCGAGGACAAAGTGTAGAGGGGGCCATGCCATGGTTGTGGTGTTGTGGTTTTTTTTTCTTGTTAGGGTTAAAACTGCTTGCAAAAAAAAAGCTGCCGTCTAAACGTGACCACACTTTTCAGGTTTTGCGGCCTCTACTCCAGTGAAGTCATACGATGTGAGAAGGGTCGAAATTACCCCGCCAGAGCAAAGGAAGCTCACTTTTGATACCCACAATCTTGTGCGAGACCTTGAGGCACATGGTGAGTAAAAGCTATGGCTGGAAAATGGCTCTGAATTTTGACTAGATTCTCTTTCCTTGAGAGCATCTAGTTTTCCATGAGCGAGGTTTCCCTGAGCATCTAGTTTTCTTTAAGCAGGGATATTTTAATTTATGGAGGAGTAGCCAACTGAGGGCCCTCCTGGCTGCTCTGGTCCATGGGGTCACGAAGAATTGGATACGACTAAACAACAACAACCCAACTATTTGAGGGTCCTCCTCGCTGCTATCTGAAGCAGCGTTGCCCACTTCAGTAAGAAGGGGTAATACCATCTGATGGGGCAATACCATCAGTAGAAAGCATCTGTTGGCTTTGTTCTGTCCCCACTTGATTTCCTCTTATAAAAGGGATAAGAAAGTCTTCCAAATGTGTCCCTCTTGCCTTTATATAGTAAGTGAGATTCATTGTAATAGCCAGGAGGGCATGCCCCAAACACACTGTCCTTTCCCCCTTATTTTAAACATTTCTTCCCCACAGGTTTTTTGAAGAGGACGAGCAAGAATCCTGTCTTTTTAAACTTGCAGGAATGAATCATGAATGGATCATGGCCTCACCTAGGTTCAAACATACCAGTAGCTGCTCTTCTTTTCTTCCCTGATTTGCAGGGTTTGGGTGTTTAGGAGATTAAAAAATAAGAGGAGGAGAAGACAGAACAGGGAAGTGTGAAAAGAGAAGAAAAAAAGAAATCAACAGCTAAAGAAGGGGAAAGATAAATGTATAAAGAAACAACAACCTTGAAATGGATTCTGAGGCAGGCCCTGGATTTTGAAGGTTGACAGTGTTTGGTGTCATCCTGTTTCTTCTTTGATGGTAAATGTCATGCTTTTAAATGTCACACCTTTGTCTACCCTCCAGGATTTGCGAAGGAACAGGCTGAAACAATTGTGTCAGTGCTGTCGGCTTTGTCGACGGTCAGCCTGGATACCGTCTACAAGTGACCCAAACCGCGCAGGGAAAAAAAAAAAAAAAAAACAAGATTTTTTTGGGGAAAAATCACTTCTTCAATTCCATGCCCTTTAGAAAGGAAACTTAGACCTATGGTGTTTGTTGATTTATTTTTTTCAGTCTGCGTCATCGATTTCAAAGCGGGATGGTGGTTTTGACACACTGGTTACGGGTCAAAATATTGCTATCCCACGCTATACAGATTGCATCCAGGCTGAACTATTTCTGGAGGCAAAATTGTTGAATCTGAGGCTGTCTCTCACTTTGGGCACATCACACGAAAGCAGGATTCTATGGGAAAGATAATAATGCTGGGAGAAAGGTGGAAGGCAGCAGGAAAAAGAGGAAGACTAAATACGAGATGGGTTGACTTTCTAGAGCAGTTATTCTCAACCTTTTTTCTTTTCTTTTGTCCATGGCCTTTTAAGGAGCTTTTTTCAAGTCCCAATATGTACCCCCCCCCCGGTCAAACAAGGAAGTCACTGCCTGGATACAATACAAATAGATGAATGTAAGGTCCCCTTCAAATAGGCTATGGCCCCCATTGAGAATGGCTGTTCTAAAGTAGCCACAGGCATGCATTTACAAGAGCTGAGCTGTTTTTTTTGGGGGGGGCAGTTTGGAGATCGCTCGTTCATCAGGTCACCATAAGTTGGAGGTGAGTTGACAGCACATCACAACAGCCCTGAAAGGTCTCAAGGGAGGATAACAGAAATTATTTTATATTAGAACTCCACATCCTAAGCAGGGCATCACCCCTCAGACCTCAGTGCTTTGTTGAGAAGCCAGATGTTACAACGAGACCAGCTTTGGTGCCAGTTGGGCCTCCACAGGGTGGGCATCAGTTCCACATTTGGCTCATCCCAGCAGAGAAGGCCCGTTCTTGTATCTCCACATGATTTATCGGTCCGACAATTGAGACACCCCCCGTTTTTTTTACTAAGTAAAAAACATCCTTGTAAAAGGCTCTCCTTTTTTAGTAAGGCCACCATTGGTTTATTCAGTCCTTAAGGAAGCATGTGGAGGCCAGACGTGTTGAAGGGACCGCACTCGCCTCAAACCCCCCCTGACATCAGGTCAAACATTAAAAAGTGACTTGTAGCCACAGATAAACTGATGTGGCCTGGAACTATTGAAACCATAGAAATACTTTGATACTCAGATGAATATTGATATGATTGTCTGTGGTTGGCTTGACTTCCTTCTTGGATTTGTTCGTTTGTTTAAAATATTTTTTTACCTTGCCTTTCTCCCCAAAAGGACCCAAAATGGCTTAACCTTTCATAGGGATAAATGCCTGCTGTGAACAAACTCCAGGAGGCAGCGGAGGTCAGGAGGTCTATGGGGTCATGAAGGATTTCATAGGGATAAATGCCTGCTGTGAACAGGAGGCAGTGGAGGTCAGGAGGTCTGTGGGGTCATGAAGGATCAGACACGACTTAAGGACTAAACAACAACAACATATGCGAATGTATTTTGATGCCATTTTATTATGTTGGAATTTGTAAGGAGTTTACATGGAGTTTTAGCTGAAAGAGTGATGCACGGTCTGGATAGCACTCTGGTGATTTCATTGCGCATGCAATGACAATAAAGTGTTATTCTATTCTGACAGTATGGAATTGTTACTACTGTTTAACAGATTACTTAACAGATAATTGCAGAATAGACCTATTAATTTCTTGGGTTTATCCCAGCATGGAAAAGTTCCATTTTTGGATGACAACCCTTTATAAAAAAAAAACCAACCGGCATAGTGACTAGGAGATTCTGGGAGTTATTAAAAAAAAAAAACAAAAAAAAACCAACCAGCATAGTGACTAGGAGATTCTGGGAGTTACGGTGTTAAAATGGCAACTGACTCAACCTGCCATCATGCATTCTGTAACCTTCCATACAATTGGCTTTCAGGACATTGTTGTATTTACTCGCCCCATCCCTACCCTAACCCCACCGTTTCTCAAAGGAAATATGAGAAGCTCTTTTCTTCTGTGACCGTCAGGGACTCGCGTGTAATTTTTAAACTCAGTCAAAGAATCCTCTCTGTCCCCCCGCATAAAATAGTTATTCTTTCTACCCCAAAAATGGAAATATTTCAAGGAATCTTGTTCTCTGTGTGCTGATTTTATCTTTCTCCTCAGGAGATCACTTTGCAACAGATAATGGCTCATTTGGATTCTGTCCGGAAAGACATGGTCATTCTTGAGAAGAGCGAATTCGCCAACTTGAGAACAGAGAATGAGGTATTTTTTTTCCAATAAATGCCTCAGGCGGTTATTTATTCTACAACTCCATTTTTCTCTTTTGCTTGTAATCCTTCCTTGGCAAGGAATCACAGTCAGCCTAATTACTGTCTTTGTGGTATATAAAGTTGGGTGTTTGGTGGTACTTGGGAATTTAAAACAATTAAAGGTAAAGGTTCCCCTTGACAATTTTTGTCCAGTCGTGTCCGACTTTAGGGGGCGGCGCTCATCCCGCTCTTCAAGCCATAGAGCCAGCGTTTTGTCCGAAGACAATCTTTCCGTGGTCACATGGCCAGTGTGATTTAGACACGGAACGCTGTTACCTTCCCACCGAAGTGGTCCCTATTTATCTACTTGCATTTGCATGCTTTCGAACCGCTAGGTTGGCGGGAGCTGGGACAAGCGACGGGCGCTCACTCCGTCACGTGGATTCGATCTTACAACTGCTTGGTCTTCTGACCCTGCAGCATAGGCTTCTGCGGTTTACAGCACAGCGCCACCACGTCCCTAAAAACAATTAAGGGAATTTAAAACAATTAAATAGTTTCCTGTTTTGTTTTTTTAAAAATTGGAAGTTGTCCTATCCCTGGTCTTAAGAGTGTGAAGAGAAAAGGAAAATCAGTGTGTTCTTTACTTGGTTTCTTCCTTCTTCCAACTTAGATCTGTCAATATGATGGCTGAAGGGAAGATCTCTCCATTTATTTCTTTTCTGGTCATGTTCACTTCCTGTTTCCCCTTTCGCGCCCTTATAAAGCATAAGAATTGGCCCATATACTTTGCCCAGTACTGCCAACACAGACTGGTAGCAGGTGTTTTTCAAAGTCTTATGCAGAACTTTTTCCAGACCTACTTGCAGATGTCATAGATTGAAGCTGGAATCTTCTGAAGTCACTGAACATGTTGCAGTGCGTCCTTTTCCGCTTGCACAACTCCATTCACTGACGAGACCTACTTGCAGATGTCATAGATTGAAGCTGGAATCTTCTGAAGTCACTGAACATGTTGCAGTGCGTCCTTTTCCGCTTGCACAACTCCATTCACTGACGCAAGAACCGTAGCTTAGGGGCAAATTCTTCGCTTTGCCTGCAAAAGTCCAGGGTTCAGTTCATGTCTTCTTCAGCTAGGGTTGGGAAAGGATCTTGCCTTAAATGCCCGGGCTGTCATCCTGTTGACTCTGTATAAGGCAGCAGATTCTTATGTTCCTCTTTCAGCCAACCTTTTCTTCGGTACCATGAGAACTGCAGTCTTAATTCATTAGAAGCAGGTGCCCCATTTCAGTGGTAGTGCCGGTTTTATATATGCAAGGTTGCAGGTTGATAAGGAGGGTTGCAGAGAAGAGCGACCAAGAGGATAAGGGGACTGGAGGCTAAATCGTCTGAAGAATAACTAAAAGAACTAGGTATGTTTAGCTTAAGGAAGAGAAGACTGAGGGGAGACATGATAGCCGTCTTCTAAGATCTGAAGGGTTGCCACAGGGAAGAGGGCATTGATTTATTCTCCATGGCGCCTGAGGGTAGGACAAGAACCAAGGGGTGGAAAGTCATCAGAGGGAGATCCAACCTGGAAATAAGGAGGAATTTCCTGACAGTGAGAATGATTCAGCAGTGGAACAGCTTGCCTCCCGAGTTGGTGGCTGCCCCATCTCTGGAGGTTTTCAAGAAAAGATTGGACAGCAATCTGTCCGGGATGGGATGAGGTCTCCTGCCTTGGGCAGGAGGTTTGACTAGAAGACCTCCAAGGTCCCTTCCAACCCTACAACGATTCTATGGTTACAGCGAGGAAAGGTAGAGCTAGGGAAGAATCCTGTGTCAAGATCTGCTGGCAGTCCCTGTTGACAATAATGGGTTGTATAGACCAAAGGGATGACTCAGTCTGAAGTGGCTTCAGTGTGTTGCAATTTTTCCTCTGTTTGTGACCATCTGCAGAACCTTGCATCCTGTTCGCTATGAACCAAAAAGTCATTCCTTCTGATCTCCATTCTACCATGGATTTGACACCTTCGCCATCTTTTCTTTTTTAGTTGAGCTTTGTCTGATTCAAGATGTTTTTTTCTCTCTTCTCCTCTCTTTCTCTCTCTCCTTTGCTAACTAGAAAATGAAAATTGAATTGGACCAAGTGAAACAGCAGCTTATGGTAAGTGACTGAAAAGCAACTACGCTGTTGGCTTGTGATCTCCATTCTACCATGGATTTGACACCTTCGCCATCTTTTCTTTTTTAGTTGAGCTTTGTCTGATTCAAGATGTTTTTTTCTCTCTTCTCCTCTCTTTCTCTCTCTCCTTTGCTAACTAGAAAATGAAAATTGAATTGGACCAAGTGAAACAGCAGCTTATGGTAAGTGACTGAAAAGCAACTACGCTGTTGGCTTGAAAAGAGAGGGGAAAACACTGGTCCATGGTAAAAATGGCACCCTCGCCATCTTTTCTTTTTTTTAGTTGAGCTTTGTCTGATTCAAGATGTTTTTTTCTCTCTTCTCCTCTCTTTCTCTCTCTCCTTTGCTAACTAGAAAATGAAAATTGAATTGGACCAAGTGAAACAGCAGCTTATGGTAAGTGACTGAAAAGCAACTACGCTGTTGGCTTGAAAAGAGAGGGGAAAACACTGGTCCATGATTGTGTAAAAATGGCGATCACTAGCCTTTTCAGCCCGAGGAAGAGAGAGACCACAAGTAGGCATTGTGGTTCCAGCAAGGGAACACAAGACACTCTTTTCTTCCTCTGTGGTTGTAGGTAAAGGTTCCCCTTGACATTTAATCCATTCGTGTCTGACTCTAAGGTGTGGTGCTCATCCCCGTTTCCAAGCCGTAGAGCCAGCGTTTGTCCGTAGACAGTTTCCGTGGTCACATGCCCAGTGCGACTAGACACGGAACGCCGTGACCTTCCCACCGACGTGGTACCTATTTATCTACTCACATTTTTACATGCTTTCGAAGGGCTAAGTTGGCAGGAGCTGGGACAAGTGATGGGGGCTCCCTCCTTCGTGTGGATTCGATCTTACGATGGCTGGTCTTCCGACCTTGCAGCACAGAGGCTTCTGTGGTTTAACCCACAGCGCCACCACGTCCCCTATCTGTGGTTCTGCTGGAGTTCAATTTTGGAGTAAAAGCTTCATGGAACAGGGCCTTGCCCTTTTTATTCCCTGTGAAGCTTCATATCACACGAATACATGCTATACAAATAATGGGTGATTATTGATACCAGTAATAACAACCAAAGCATCAAATCCAGGAGCATTTCACAACAGCAAGAGAAAGTTAAGGTCTGTTTGGTTTTTTTAAGGAGAAAAAAAGTCAATTTAAATGAACACATCCTCACTGCTCACCTGAAAACAGGCAGTAAAGGGGTGAATTGCAAGGGTTATGATGCTATAACAAATTCTCAGTGCCATAATAGGGGAAATGTCTCCTGAAATACAAATGATTGAAATGCAGGGTCTTTTTGGTTTTTTTAAAGAATGAGATCAGTCAGATCCGGGCTGAAAACAAGCTGGACATCAACTTAGAGCGCAGCAGGGTGACAGATATGGTAAGCTGTATTTTTTGCTCCTCACACATGTACATTTTCTCATTCTACTTATCCTAAGTTTTCTGAATCATGTCATTTCTTGCATTTTTTTAAAAAATCTCTTCAGTTTACAGATCAGGAGAAAAAACTCATGGAAGCGACAACAGAGTTTCATAAAAAAGTAAGTGTATGAACTGGGACAGGTGTGTAGATGGGGGTTGGGGGTTGAATCCTATTTTGCCAGGGGACACAAGAAGAGGATAGCAAGGACAGAGCAGCCAGAGCTTAGAAGAACTGATATTTCTATTTTTGAATGACAACACTCACGATTTTTGGGTGTTGTAGTCAAAGAAAGTTACAGTGGTGCCCTGGTGGACAATTACCCTGCTTGATGACGAATCCGCTTAATGTTGAAGTTTTTGCAATTCCAAAAAGATGTTTAGATGGGGGAATTTCACTTAACGTTAATCGGTTCCCTGCTTCAGGAACCGATTTTTCGCTTTACGACAATCAGCAAACAGCTGATCGTCAGGTTTCAAAATGGACGCCGGCTGTAGAAAATGTCTCCCCGCTGTGTTAGGGACGGATGCCTCGCATTACACGCACCAGAAAATGGCTGCTGTATGGAAGATCTTCGCTGGATGAGCAGGTATTTTGCCCATGGAACGCATTGAACGGTTTTCAATGGGTTTTTTTATTTCGCTTGATGACAATTTCGCTCTACAGCTATTTCGCTGGAACGAATTAACGTCATCAAGCAAGGCACCACTGTACTTCTTTCATGTCTTAGGACAGTAGTTTCCAACCTTGGGTTCTCAGGTGTTCTTGGGCTAAAACTCCCAGAACCCTCGCCATGCTGGCCAGGACTTCTAGGAGTTGTAGTCCAAGAACATCTGGGGACCCAAGTATGGGAACCACTGTCTTAGAGCAACTATGTCCAAAGTGGTGAAGCCACAGTTGTGAAGTTCCCAGGTACTGTGAGCTGTAGGTTGCTGTGTTTTCAAAGAAAAAATAGTGGGTATTTGTAGGAGAAAATTGCAGTACTTTGGTGCTGGGTATGTGTCTGTTCAGAGAAAACAATACTTCTGGGGAAAAACCTCAAATTTAATTGTATTTGGAAATGTATTCAGGGATAGATCAGAAGTTGTAGCTTCGTTTACAAATGTCTGTACAGCTAGCTTTCATAAATACAGAACTTACAGTAACCACCATGGAGGAGTCCTGAAGCATTTTCTTTCTTGGCAAGGGTGAGCAAAGTTCAAATGTTATTAGACTGTCATTCCACACCATGAAATATGTTGGCTGAGGATAATGGGAATCGCAGCTGAATGACATCTCGAGGGGCAAATCTTCCCATGCCTATTCAAGGGTAAAGAGGTACAAACCGATCTTGGAGATGAAGCAGGAAGGATAGAAGGAAGCCTAAAAGTAGTGGTCCGCATGTCAACAAGACTTATTTGGAAAGAAAAGAAGCGCGAGAGAGGCATAGGTGAACCTAGCTATGTTTCTCTTGTCACCCACCGCAACTGCTTTATGCTCAATTTTCAGCTTCCAATATCCCTGCCCCATGTTTTCAAAAAGGAGGAGAAGCATGCCATTTTAACAACCTGAAAGTAGCTAGCCCGACATTACAATGAAGCCCACAGAAGTTATTAAAAATCTAAATAAATAAAGCAGACCTTTGGTCTAAATAGGCGGGGTAGAAGTCAGATAAATAAATAAAAAGCATGTTTGCGGGTGTCCCTGGCTTCATCTCGGAAAGTGATGATTGTGTTCTGTCTTTCCAGGACTCAAGTACCAACAGCTCCATTACAGAAGTCAGCAATAAAATTGACGCTGAAATCGCTGCCTTGAAAACACTCATGGAGTCGAATAAACTGGAAACCATTCGCTATTTGGCAGGTAAGAGACTGGTGTGTTAAAAACCTTTGTGGCAGAAGTGTATAATCTGGGAGTGGGCCCTGCCATAAAAAATATTGTGCAGTTTGAGAGTGTTGAGAATTCCAGTTTATGCGACTACTGCCCTTCCACCACCATCAGGTGAAAACCTTCCCTTTCTTTTGTATTGGCTTTTAACTTCTACATCCCGAAGATAGTAATTTTTGCAGCCCATTTTTATCAGTGTTTTTAATATCCAGTATTTTTTAAAAAAATTCACTTTTTTTAAACCAGTGGCATTTAAAACTTTTTTTGTCTAATCCTATTTTAATCGTATTGTCTTAATTTATTGCCATTTTTACATGTATTTCTAAATTGTACATTGATTGCCTTTCATACCTTTTTGGGAGGTTTAAAATGGTTGGCTGTGCCTTATTGCGGTTTCGGGCTCCGTTTTCGTTTTCTGTCTTTTAGCAGCAGTATCTGTTTGATCCTTTTTAAGCATTTGTATACTCGCTGTTTTTCGCTTTTAACCT